ATGCTTCTAAACCAGATTTTTAGCATCAGTAACCCTAATGGAAGCCTTTCCCGGAGAACGTGGCTGGTCAGAAAATCCAAAGCCGTTGCACTTTATAATAGAAAGACTGTTTCGATATTTCCTGGCATTTGCTTCCCTTCTAATTAATGTCGTACCCAGAAGGGGTAATCATTCAGCCATCTTTCCAGCTTAAAAAGAGTCAAAGATTAAAAAACAAACAATTACCCACTGTAATTAATTTGAGAGGGGATTTTGGGGGGTGTGTCTGGGAGGACGCTGGGGTGGGGGTGTTGTGCGTTGTTCCCCTCTTCTGTTCCAGGCAGTGTTTGTCATTCTTTGGCAGGAACGACTAATTTATTGTCTGGCTCTCCAATCTGGATTCATACCGGGTAGCTTTCAATCCCTCCCCCGCCGCCAAAACTCTTGTGATGTGCTGTGTATTTGTTTGGGAGGGGAAAGAGAAGGGGGGGAAGGGAGAAGGTTATATGTTTCTGACCTGCTTTACTGCTTTTCAACTGCAAGTAAATTAATGCACACACTAGATTCCCCTCTGCTGTGCTGATTGGATCCTTGTGCCGATTAAATATTTCACACTGATAGAGGGATGCTGAAAGCACTCAGCTGGTAATGCAGTATGTACATCAGTGATACAATAACTGACTTTCAGGTTAAAGTCAAACAAAACCCCCAGTTTACTGCAGTTTTGATTAGAATGAGTTTCACTTTGAATTTAAATCCTCGAGCCTGCTGCAGCGATGGCTAATTAACTGAGATCTGATAGAGGCAAAGGAGTACATTCTTACTTCTAATGACAGGCAGGCAGGACGTTGTCAAAAAAAAAAAAAAAGAAAGAAAAGAAAGAGAAAGGAGAAGAAACCAACAGACAAAAGAAGCCTTAAAAAAAAATACTAATGCTGAGATTGTACTTCAGCACACGTAAACCTCCCTGCCCGTGTTCCACACTCAGCCTCCTTTGGCTGAAAGTCCGCCCCTGGAAGGGCTGTTTCCATCGAGTCCCAGATTTTCTTCAGCTTTTTTTTCTTTTTTTTAATCCTCCTGACAAAAACTGACACCCGAGTCCCACCTAGTCGGGCCGTCGCTACCTCCTTGTTTATCAGTCGTGCTTTTGGGGGCTTCCTTTAGGAAAGGGCAGGGGTCCAGGAGCAGCCGGACTGGGGAGGAGGAGGAGGAGGAGGAGGAGGAGGAGGAAGGCTGCCTGCCCCCGGGTACCGCACATCACCCCGCTCCGCGGTGACCTCTCCCTGGGGTCATTACAATACTTCTGTCGAACAATTTCTCCTCCCTCCCCTCCTTTCTCCCCATCCCTGCCCCCCGCCCCGGCTTGGGCGTCGCAGGGAGAGCGCTTGCATCAAACTGACAGGTCATTTACCGAGCGATTGGCAGGGGGAGCTGCCCCAGCCTTCCTTAGAACGCTCCTCCTCCTTCTCCTCCTCCTCCTCCTCCTCGGTTGCACGTCTCGAACACCATTACATCGAATCCGGTGTTTGTGGAAACAGCGCACAGAACTTTTCCGTGCGTGATCTTCGTCCTTGTTCCTGCGAGAACCTGCTTTAATGTCTCCTCGAGGGCTGTATGCAATAGGAAGCATTTTTTATGGGAGCCCAGGGATAAAACACAGACTGTGGAGCCTTTTGCCTCCATGAACACCCACCGAACTCCTCTGGGTGCCCCGGGGTGGGTGTGTGCTCAGCTGAAGCCCTGCTCGCTTCTGTTTCAGTGTGTAAAGTCATGCAGGTTATTGGCTCATGAATTAAGGTGCAGATCAGGCAGGTTCAGCCGTGTATATGGGAGATATGTGGATATTCGTAGGACTGGATCAAAATCCTAAGACACTGTACTGAAGTGCCACGGCCTGTCCACACTGCATTTATTTGTTGTCACTCTGAATATTAAATATTGTGACAACTGGGCAAATGAGCAGAGGCCATGGCCCTCATTGCTGGAGAAGTCTGTTCAGCTGGTTTGCATGCAGGGCTTTAGATGAGTGCTGAATGTTAAATTATTAATTGACAAGCCATCATTTTGGTTTGAAAGTGGATGGCCAGTGTTCTGCAAGCTACATAAACTCTCAGGGTTATTCTAAATAAACTCTCAGGGTTATTCTAAATAAACTCTCAGGGTTATGCCAAATGTTTTCTCATAGCCATGGGGCCACTGAGGAAAAGAACTGGTGCTGCTCTGAAAACAATTGCAGTTTTTCACAACGAAACTGCTTTGTCAGGGTGTCACACTAGAAAGATTAATGGACTGAAGTCTCTATCACAGCACACAGGTGTTAAAATATAAATGTGATGGGCAGTGAATCTTAGGTCCTTTTTAAACAGGTCCCATATTTTACTGGGAAAATGTGAGGGTTTGGTGAGAGGCACGTGCCCGTTTTGAATCCCTGCTGTGGCACAGAGCAGCCAGGAGTAACTCCCTTGCAGAGTATGGCGTGTTCCTGTTTGAGCTGTATGTGTGAAGGCAAGTTGACACCAGATCAGTAAAGGCTGGGAGATGTGCTGCAGCAGGGGGAAAATGAAGGAGCCAAACCCTCCCAGTGGACGTGATGCTGTCTGTGTGGAGTGTGGCCGGAGCCTGCCTGTGTCCTATTGCACAGCCGCCTGCAAATCCTTCCTCCCGTTGCTCTTCCCGTCTCTTTATTCCCCAAACAGAATGATCTGTGGTGTGTGATAGCAGAAGCAGCATTTGAGTAACCAAATCTGAGGCTTTTAAACTGTTGCACGGCTGCCTCGTCACCTGCAAACCTTCCCAGCACGGAGCTGGATGGGAAGGAGGGGACGGGGAGGGGTTTCACACGCACAGATGAACGGAAAGGCCAGAGGTATTTTGATACATATGGAAAAAAATATTAGCTCTGCTTTGAGACGTTGAGCCCGTGCCACGGACAAGCTGGGAAGTCATAAACAAGTGGCAGCTTTCCAGCACGTTGTGGTGTGTTTGCGTGTGACCGGCATACATATTCCAAACTCGGGATTGCCTGTGGCGTCCTGCGGCGAAAATGAAAGTTGTGTTGCTATTGAAAAGGCGCCGCTTCAAAATTGGTGTATTGTGAGGGCTATTGTGCTGAGGATGAGAAGCAGAGACCTGCTTTCCAGCATTTAAAGCCAATATTTTTTTTTGCCTTCTTTCCCCCCCCACCTCTCTTTCGGCTCTTCCATTGTATCAGCACATGTTTTCTGCTGCAGTGTCCAAAGCTTGCTTAGTGTCTTATTGTTCATCATTCCAAAAGTGTCAGAGAATATGTTATGCTGACTGACTCTCAAAATGCAGATTTTCTTTCTCTTTAAAAACCAAGACTATTCTTTTTAATTAATCTGGCAGAAATAGAATGCAGCAGATGCAGGTTTTATTGAGGATTTTTTTTAATCTCTCGTATCATAATCTTTGTTTCTGCCAACACTCCTTTATCAACGTCTTCTCAGCATGATAAAGTAAAAATGGTTGTTACAAAGAAAAACCACCTCATAGCTCGTCTCTTAACTAACATAATCTGATTAAGGGGGGGATATTTTTAAAGTTTTGGCAGGTACATTTTAGCAAATTAATAAATGAGGCACAGAAGAGATGCTGTTGCTGCTTTTTCCCAAACAGACAGTTTCTGTAATTCTCTTTTGGAAGCCCATCTTGAGCACCTGATCCCATGTATATGCTTCCATATTTAGTTTCTAAAATTTGCAGTTATTTAAATAAATTTATCATAACGTTGTTCCCTCGGGAGGTCACAGACATGGCCCAATTGGTCCTTGCGAGCCCATTCCAGGGACACAATGTTTTCCCTGTATTTGCTTAGAAAAGCCACAAAACCTGAATTAAAATGAAAGTTTCCCATTAGGAGATGAATGTTCAGTTTTACTAGCATTATCCCAGCTTAGACTGAAAGCAGCAGTAACCCTTATTTCCTCAGCTCTCCTGGCTGCGTACACGTGAACAGGCGGGACTGTCGGACTATTAGGAAAATGTTAAATTCATCACATGCAAAGACACACAAAACTGACTCACAGTGGGAATGGGATGGAGGGTAGTTTGAGTAGTGATTTTGTTTGTTCATACAATCTCTGCTTTTGTCTGTACAATCCCCTCCTTTGAAACAGGACAAAAAGCAATTAGTTGCTATTGCATTTTGTCAGGGAAGTCATAATCTACTCCTACTTAATTTACTTGGGCTTTCCACTGAGCTACCAAGGACTGTCTGTCTTTTGGGATCAGGAAGTTTTATTTGCTTAGATGTTTTCCGTTGCTGAACTGCCTTGAGAGCAAAATAAAGCTGGACTAATGCCACTAGGATATTCCATATCAGGAATTTATGTGAAAACAGGGAGTCAGTACAGTTCAGGGGTTAATAAGGTGCCGTGCAAGGAAGTATTTCATAAAGCAGGAGAGGTGCTGTTCAGCTCTCCTATATTCTGTCCCAATCCTGTTTGGCACCTACAGCACCACTGGGGTGTGGAGTAAGTGCAAGGAACACCAGTGGGAAACTGTGCTACAACAAAACAGAGAAATAGAGTTTTGTGGAATTTTGTCATAAGCAACTTTTCCTGCTTACATAAAACGTCCCTGAGCTTCCACTTGAGGACTTTTAAACTAACAGACAGTATTTCTGTGCTCGCAGAAAAGTTCTTTTATCTTCAAAACACTTATGACACGCAGCAGTGTAGTCTAAGCAGAATATTGCCTGTGCTTCCTTGGGATGACTGTTAGGATAGTGGAGGATGAAAGGGTAAAGGCAAAAATGGACAGAGCTTAAAACAATTTATACAAAATCACAATTACTAGAGTAATGCTGGCATTAGAATCACGGAAGCACAGAATCATTCAGGTTGTAAAATACCTCCAAAAAAAAGTCATTTCTGTCTATGAAAACCTGAAGCAAGTATCTCTGGCAAAGCACATGCTTGCTGTTTCATATAAACACCAGAACCACACTTCCTGGAGCAAACATATTTGTCCACTAGGGCTTTACAGCCTTTAAGTGTATAATGGGTTTAAAGGTAAGAAGGGATGTATTTTCATGGAAGTCAGTTAGTTTTGTATTACAAGGCTTGTACTTTATCCTCAGAAGAAAGATTTTGAGCTTTATTCTGGAAAGAACTAACTATATCTGTAGCTTTATATACACACACATACATATGTATACACTGCATTGTAAACAAGCAAAGTGGACAACAAAACTCTGGCTGACTTTAATAGGGGAGCACAGCAGTTTCCCAAGGCTGTACATTGGATATGATTGCACTGGAGCCCAGAGGCTCAGTCAGTTAAACAGGGGCAGAAATCTTTGCAGGATTAAGTACCTTAGATGTCAGGTCTTGTAAAAATGAGATGTTTAATAATTAAAGGTATCAAAAGAGGCTTGAACTGGCATTACCTCCCCCTCCCACATATAACTAACTTGCTTAAATGGCATTAATAAGAAAAGCTCCCGAGATTAAATTATTTAAAGTGCAACAACTTTATAAAAGTTTTTTCTTTCCTTTTCAAAAGTGAGCATTTTATGCAGACGCTGGCATTTATGAGAGGGCAACTTCGCAGTGCCTATAGAGATCTCAAATACAGGTTCCTCTGAGATAATATAATAAAGTCAAAAGCAATGTGCTACTATTACTGATGACAGAATAGCCACTCCGTAGCAGTGTAAAAGAGGAACTGTTAAGAAAAACAGAGAACTGCAAGTTAAAACGGTGCTATGGAAAAAAGACAGCTTGGAGAAGGATAATAATAATAATAATAGTAATAGTAATAATGATAATAATTATAATAATAATACCATCACATTGTAAAAAAATCCACCAAAAATAGTAGAAGTTTGTGAGAGAAACAAAAAGTTAAAGGGAAAGCAACAAACCGACTCCAAAGTCAGTCAGGGTGAGGGAACACACGAAGTCGCCAAGCGCTGGGGTGCGGCGGGCACGTGGAGTGGGTTCCCAGGCCAGTGGAAGAGAAAGTTGAAAATAACGTTCTTTAAGCCTCTTATTATTAATTGAAGCTGCGGTATTATCTAGACCTATGCCAGGGTCATTTATACCAGGACTGGGGTATAAACCAAAGGGGGAAAAAAAAAAAAACCCAAAGGGGAAAAAGAAGCAGTTTGGAAGCCCCGAGTGCCCCCGCGAGTCCCCGAGCGCCGAGGGGGAGCCCAGCCCAGCCCTTCCCCTGCCGAGAGGAAAACCGTGAAACCAACCAAAGCCAAAGGGAAATAACCCCAAATATCCGTGCTGCGGGGGGCCGGGGGGCCGGGTCCGGTGCAGCCCTGCGGTGACGGTGCCGCTTCTCTCTCTCTCTCTCTCTCTCTCTCCCTCTCTCTCTCCCTCTCCCTTGTGTCTCTCCCGGCAGAAGCTGGCGGTGCTGGTGGGCAGCGGCTCCAGCGGCAGCGCCAAGCCCGGCGTGGTCCCGGCGCTCCTGAAGGCTCCGGGCGGCGGCGGCAGCCCCGGCGGCAGCCCCGGGCACAGCCTGCCCCTGGCCGGGCACAGCCTGCCCCTGGCCGGGCACAGCCTGCCCCTGGCCGGGCACAGCCTGCCCGTGCCCGCGCTGCCCGCCCGGGCGCCCATCGCCGTGGTCACGGCCACCCTGCACGGAGCGATGGGCGCGGAGCCCCCGCAGAGCGCGCCCGTCAACCTGCAGGGCACGGGCAGGGCGGGGGGAGCCCGCAGAGCCCCCGACATCGGCTCCGGCGCTCAGGTACGGCCGGCAGGGGCGGGGGGCCGGCAGGGAGGGATGGATGGAGGGATGGAGGGATGGATGGATTGGGGCCGGGCGGGCGGGGGGCGGCGCTGCGGGAGGCGGGAGGGGGCGGCCGCTGGGCGGGGGATGTGGGGGGGCTCCGGGGCCAAGGGAGGTGCCAGCGGGGGCGGGGGGAGACCCGCACCTCCCTCCCGGTGCCCCCCGGATGCGGGGACACGGAGAGACTTTCCCCTCCATCCCAATTCCTTCGGGGTGCCGGGGGAGACTGGCCCTTCCATCCTAAGGCCTTCGAGGGGCAGGGGGAGACCTTCCTCTCCCTCCCAGAGCTCCTGGGATGCGGGAGACTTGTCCAGACCTTCCTCTCCCTCCCAGAGCTGCCGGGATGCGGGGAGAGACTTGTCCAGACCTTCCCGTCCCTCCCAGAGCCCCCGGGATGCGGGGAGAGACTTGTCCAGACCTTCCTCTCTCTCCCAGAGCCCCCGGGATGCGGGGGACATGTCCAGACCTTCCTCTCCCTCCCAGAGCTGCCAGGATGCGAGGAGAGACTTGTCCAGACCTTCCCCTCCCTCCCGGAGCCCGCGGGGCGCGGGGCTCGGCTCCCGCCCTGTGAGGGGAGGGTTTTTTCCTCCTGTGACGCTGAGCGCAGAGGAATTGGCCACCTCTTGTCGTTCGCCCCCAAGCTGCTCGCACCTTCTGTCCTTAGAACCCCCGAGGTTTATGTGAAGAAGCGCCGGCGGGGTGCGGGGGCTCCCGGCGGTGCTGGTGTGGTGCCGGTACCTCAGGCAGAGGGGAGCTGGCAGGCTGCTGCCTCCAGGTCCAGGTGTATATGTATGTTTAATGCTTATGTTCACAGTAATCTAAATATGGAGTGAGTGCATTGACCCAGTGAAAGGAGGGGAAGGGGTGCTGTTTGTTTGCTGCACACCGCGTTTTGTGCAGTCCATTAAACAGCCACGAGAGAGAAGATTTTACTCCAGTCACGGTGTGTCAGGAGAGAGAGATGATGTTGATGAAGTTAAAATGTGAAGAAAACGGCAAAGCCTTCCCAAAACTTTGGAGAAGAGGATGTAAAGCGTTATTGCTCGCATTGGCAATGTGGATTTCTTTTCTGCTTTCTGCACATAGAGGCTGTGGTAGCCTGGTTTTTTTCCCCTCTGATTCCCCTTCACAAGCTCAGGGTACGAGTCTCTAACAATCAGGAAAGGACACAGTATGGATAAGGGCAACAGCCAAACTGCACCCGAAGATGTTTGTAAGTCAAGGTTATGTTGGAATGCGTGAGGCTTTTTAATACCCAGGAAGTGTCTTCCTAAACCCTGGACAGGGCGTAACCATCACCTGCTGTATCCACTAACAAATGGAAAGCACATCCAAGCACTTTGGGAACCAAATTGTCCTGTCACTTTTTCTGGAGAAACAGCACTATCTTCAGCTGTTACACTGAGGTAGCCATGTGGGGAATTTGATTTTGAATCTCCATTCTGTATTCATGCTGGGTAATTTCCTTTATTGAAGGTGTTGTTTATGCTTTATTGAAAAGGTACTTGTTGCTATCCCAGTAGATATTTCTTAGAATCATGGAAAATAACTGTATAAAGGATAATCATATGAAAGATAAAAGTTTCAATATTACAATGGTCTATCATTTTGTGAAGGACTATCTTTTACTGTCACTGGCAGGAGCCATAGGAAGAAAAGAATCAAAAAAGTGAAGGAAGAAGCTTGAAATAACGTTTAATGTATTTAGGCTGAATAGTGAAGCACCAGCAACAGGTGCTGGAGAGCAGTGTGGGTTAGAACAGTTGGCTGCAAACTGGTGCTCCTGCATGTTTCAATTTTATTATTTATTTATTTTATTTTACATTTACTGATTGATTTAATCAATTAATATTTATTGTTTTCTCTATCCTGAAACAGTTCTTGCCCTGACATTGCAACTTTTCTTGCAAAGAGCAGCTTTGTTTTGAGGAGAGGCTTGTTGTTATTGGAATAGCACAGGAATGTTGACCAGCATTTGGGGTTTGCCTTGGTTTTGGTACAGGAAGAAGTCCAGCATTTTTCTTTAGAAATGTCTTCACTTTGCAAGTTTGCAGCCACTGCAGTTTTGTGATTTGGTATCTCTGATTATTTGTAATTTATGGAGGAAGCAGCTGAGCAGTGGTAAGTTTCTAAAGGAAGGAGAAGCTGAGCAATGGCAAGGTCCTAAAGCAGAGGACTATAGTGGTTTCACCTTTTGAGAACAGGCAGCAAGCTTGGATAGAAACAATTAGAAATACTGAATTATGAAAGTGAACAAAATGCAAGCTGACCTTTGGTCCTAAACTGCCAGGAAGCTTAGTGCTGGATTGCATGTTAATCATCACTCCTCTACCCAAATTAAATTTGTTTTGCAAGGTTTCTTTTTCTGGCTCAATGGAGGAAAAATCTATTCGTGCTTCATGCTCAGTATTCTTGATTGTTCCTGGAGTGGTGATCACGAATCAATAATAGTAACACCTTAGCTACTAGAACTGTAGTGTCAGGGGGAAATTTCATTGCTGATGTTTATTAATAAGCATTTACTATCTCTTTTTTTTTTTTGTGGCATTGTTACAGCTCAGTAAAGTTGTTTGGGTTTTTTTTTTCTGCTGAAATGTATGAAGTTTGTGAGATGGAGGATAATGACAGCTTTCTGCAAACTGGGTTAAAGTGGCAAGCTGATGGTAGTAAATGAGATTACTGGTGTAGTGTAGCCTATTCCTCTGCATCTGCAAAGTGAGGGGAAGGGCAGGGGCATGAAATGTAATGTTATGAGTTTCTGAACAGTGGCTTCTGCTCGAAAGCATGTAGGGGATCAGGATGTGTATACAGTCATCTCAAGTGGTATCTAGCAGGAAGAACGAAATGCTAAATGCAACTCAGCAGAAAAAAATAGGGCATCAAGCACTATAATCTAAATACAGGACATTCAAATATAGATGGGATTAAATGTAAGTTTGGTACAAAATTTTCATTTGGGCAGCTGCGTGTCAGCACTCTCTTTTTTAGGCTGTTGTTTACCCAGCAGATTTTTAAAGTGATTTTGAAATGTTGTTGACTGTAATGGAAGCCATATCTGCATTGGAAAAAGTATCTAAGTAAATAAATACATAACAGATACTAAAGGATTGTTTAGATATCTACCACGTGATTTATTTGAAGCAGGAAACGAGATATTAAAAAGGATTGAAAGGTGTAAGCCTAGGAAATGGTGAGCTGCAGGAGTGAGTGCTGGGTCTGAACTCCTCCCTGGCAGCCTTTCAGTGCCAGTCCCGTGTGTGAGGACATGACTGATGGAGCTACACTGCTGAGAGAGTCCATGCAGGGATGTCATGAGTGCAGCTCTTGCTCCCCGCTTAGAGAAATGGAGCTCGGAGCTTCATTTGGATGATCTGGAGCAAGTTATGTTGGCAGAAGCAGAATTTTGCTGGCATAAGCTGAATTTTGCTGGCATATGCTGTATACACACTAGGAGTGCTTTGCCTTCAGAGAATTGCTGTTGCTGTTCTGTAGAGAGAATGCCCTGGAGCTCCTGGGCAGTCACAGGATATCAGCATGACTGTACCTACATCATATTTTGGTATGAAGAGATTTTAATAGAAACCTCTCAAATTATGCTCTTATTGTAATGATAATATATATATTTAATATTTTGTGGTATTTGCCCTTTCCTCTTCTTGCCACCATTTCCTGACTGAAAGCGGGATCTGAGGTTGCTTTGCTGAAGGACAAAGTCCCATCTGCTGTGCTGGAAAAGAAAATGCCCCTCTGCCGCCTCCTCCTTCTCTTCTAAGTAGCAAAACCGTGGGCCAGCAGGCATCCCAGAGCCTAGTTTGGGGAAAGCAGGAAGCCTCTGGGCCATTTGGAAGACAGTTGGATGGGGAGAACAGGCAGAGAGGGGGAACACAGCTGTCAGACCCCTCGGCTGCCTCCCAGGAGCTGCGGCGAGAGACAAAAGCGGTGGGAGGGCACGTCTGCACCGGGCCATGGAGCACCACAACACACACACACGACTCCCTGTCCACCAGGACTCCACAGCCAGCGCAGATCCTGCCTTCTGCTCCTCTCTGGGCTTCCCTTCCCACACGTGTGTTGCCTGGGTGGGCTGCAGGGAAGTTTGGCAGGTGTCCCCTGCACGTGTGCCGGGGCTCGGCTGTGCAGGGAGGTTATTTCAAAGCAAAATACAGCACGAGGATTTATAGTGCTATAAATTCTTGGCAAGATAGTAAACTGTTCTCCACAAATGCTTCATTAACTCCACAGCTCACAGAACTACTTGTGTCCGTGTTTAAATTGAGCAGGCTACTCCATTTCTTTTTTTTTCCCCCCAGGAAAAGGTGGCTTTTATACGTGTAGGAGGATGCTCAGATATACTTCTTAGCTATCTATATATTCAATTTGCTAGAAAAAACCTGCATTCTAGAAGTTTAACCACATACCCCTGCCCGCAATGGCCATTTTTCAGAATAATTTATTTGTAGAATGATTTATTACCTTTCTCTTTGCCATCCCACTTAATGTGCTCCACTCTGCTCTCTGTAAAAGTGCTTCCTCCATAATTGGAAATCCACCTGCGTGTATGACTAAGTCTTTTTGGCTTTTATTTATTATTTGTGTTGCAGCAGTACTTAGAGGTTTTATTTATAGATATATTTACCTGTATTGGTTATGTGGCTATATATAGCTTTTATTCCTATGATCCATGTTACAACAGTGACAGAATACATGGCAGTAGTTAATTTAGCCTTGCAATATGGAGTTATTACGACTAAGGGGCTATTATTCCATATTTTACTGTTGGAAAACTGAGAAATAAAGGATCCATTTATGCGGGTCCATTGACGGTTCAACACGGGAAGCTTGCGAGGGTTGCCCTAGGCAGGATCCCTGGATTGGCAGCCACACCACTGGCCTTTTTGGTGATTGTGACAATGGCTCAGATGTGTCCATCCTGTACGTGGCACCCTTAGGGATAAGAT